TGCCTACATTGTTTTGTGAGACCCACCCGCTGTTGCCTGGCAGCAATAGTTTTCTCATTCTCGTGGCTGTTTTCTGTTTTTATATCATATGCCACAGTTAACCCATTCTGTCCATGGCACTGGAATTGCTTTCAGGTGGGGGAATTATAAGTAGTGGTGCTACAAACATTATTTTGCATGTCTTTTCATGAATACACATATATACACACATGGGACATATCCATGGAGGCTAGAGGGTATATGTATTTCTAGATTAAATAGCTGTTACAACCAAAGCAGTTGCATCAAGCTGTACTCCCACAGCAGGTGTGTGCGATTCTTGTTACCACCTGTCCTTGCCAACACTTGGTATTATCTGTCTGATTTTAGATATACTACTGAATGGTATCACAATGTGGTTTTAGTTTGTTTTTCCTTCTAAGAATGAAACTAAGTACACAGTCTCATTTGTTAGCCACTTGTATGTCCCTCATGAAGTGTAAGACCTGCTTCATTCCTTCTTGAATTGCCTTTTCTCAAGTTCATTATCTGATGTATTTAGTATGAATATCTTTATAATTCCCAAGTCTCTTTCCTTCCTTAGTGGTGTCTGTATATACTGTACTTAATTTCAGTTAGCCCTCTTTTCATGTATTCTACTTTTTTGATGAATGCTCCGTCTCATTTTAAGTATCTTCACCATCTTTTCCTTCATTTTGTGTGTGTGTGTGTGTTAGTTACTTGGGATTGATCCTAGGGCTTTTTGCATGCTAGGCAAGCTCTCTACCACTGAGCTACATCCCCACCCCTTGTTATTTTATTTTGAGACAGGGCTTTACTAAGTTGTTCAGGCTGGCCTTGAACTTCTGATCTTCCTGCCTTAGCTCCAGTCGTTGGGATTATAAGTAGGCACCACCATACCTGGCTTCCCTCCATTTTCTTAATACTATTAATCATAGTTATTTGAATGCCTTTGTTTTATATCTCCTGTATTTGGATCACCTGTGTATCTGTTTCTATTCTTTTTCTGTCAATTTCCAGTCATTTAGTCTGTCTGTTGGCATATTTGACAATCCCTGAGAAATTGTTAAGGCTCTAAATAATGTTTTGGTGTATACACATTCATCCTTTCTTCTGCTTGTCAGATAAACTGGTCTAATCCCCTCACCTGTTGAGTGTGACTTGGCTTGTTGTGATCTGAGTATGTCTCTTCCTCTTTCTCATTCTGGATGGTTCCTGAGACTTGGACTTTTTTTTTTTTTTAAGAGAGAGAGAGAGAGAGAGAGAGAAGCTTGTAATATTTATTTTTCAGTATTCGGTGGACACAACATCTTTATTTTTATTTTTATGTGGTGCTGAGGATCAAACCCAGCGCCCCACGCATGCCAGGCAAGCGCGTTACTGCTTGAGCCACCTCCCCAGCCTGAGACTTGGTCTTTCACAGACTCCACCTGAAAGCTTGGCAGTTCACCCTGACTCCCTGACCTTCATGGGTGTCAGTGTTGATACTTAGCTCCTACATACAGGGTCTTAAACTTTCCGCCTTTAGTTTCTTATACACCTAAATAGCATTATAGTTGAAGTACTATATTACCAAGTAAAGAAGACTTTACTGAAGAATTTTGAGATGGATAAGGGATTTTGACTATAGTGTAATGAGCCTCTGAGAAGATCTACTTGAAATTTAGATAAGAATGTTAATTTTCTTTCTTACAAATAATAGTAAACACTAGAATCCCTCATTGATAAATTTGACATAAAATTGTTAAATCCACATTTTAAAATGTGCATAAAAACAGTTCATTTCACAGAATGAAAATAAATATGTAGAAAGTTCTGCTTCTGCCCATGAAACATTATGGTAAAAGCTCAGTTCCTGTAGCTGTTCAGTACCTGGAAAAGCAGTCTAAAAACGGGGAGTCTGTGGGGACACACTGTCCAGTAGGGGCCTCAGGGCAACAGTGAGGAACCCTGACATTGCCTAGAAATGGATCCATGCACACAAGAYGGAAGCAACCTGAGGCGCAAGAGAGGACTACTGGAAAGAAGACCAAACAGTTTCTGAAAGTCCAATATTTTGATTTCCCACTAAGAAAGATGAATAGACTTAAGAAGCCATTGGTAAAGTCCAGAGATGGCTCTGTCTCAGTGGGGCTAAGTTAGTCCTCGACTAAAGACTGCAAAGGACCTCACACTAAAAGCTAAAAGCAAGTTTCAAAAGATTCTTCATAATCCCCAAAAGTTTAATTGCCAGCCAGAAGAAAATCCAGTGCTGAGGAATGAAACATCCCCTGCTCAATAGCACACAGCTACTAAAAACATGGCCAGGAATGCAAAGCTGCAGAAGTGGGACCCATTAACAAGGAGGAAGGTGAGTGATGGACCTGAGCCACTGCACATGGCGGGTTGAGCAGACAGACAGCACCACAGCAGAGCCCTCAGTTTGCTCTCCACACTCGACGGTATAGAGGGGAATGTGAAGATGTGAGAAATGGACGGAAGACACAGAACCCAGCTGAACTCTCAGAAATGAAAAAGACAGTGATTCAAAAAGTAGACTGGATAGAATTAACATCAGAGTAGTTAATTATTGTTTCTAAAAATCAATGAAATAGGAAAGGTGCAGAAGGAATGAAGCAATGTCCCCATCCAAACAGCACAGTTCAAGTAAAAAAATTGCCCGAAATGTAAAGCTGCAGAAATGAGACCCAGTCATGAGGAGGAACATGAGTGGTGGACCTAGAACCAATGCATGTGACGGATTCAGCACATGGTGCAGAGTCGGAGAAGAAAAAGACCGGAAAAGCCATGAACAGCGCTTCAGAGAGCTGCGGACAAAGTCCTCCGCCACCACCTCTGTGTAGGTGTGTTTGGAGTATCACTAAGGAAGGGCGGAAAAGGCAGTGGAGCATACAGTGTCTGGTGGAAACTTTACAAAAAAGTTAACAGACCCCAGTGGAGGGAATGTGAGACCACACAGTGACAACCTGTCGCATATTTCAGATGGCTGGAACTCTGTAAAGAAAACGTTAAAAAACAACCAGTGATAAAAGACATCACATAGAAAGGAACAAAGATTTACAGTGGCAGCTGACTTCAAACTAGAAGACATTTATAAAATGTTGAAATGGAGAAGTATCTTAAAAATCTTGGGGCTGGGGTTGTAGCTCAGCAGTAGAGCACTCGTCTAGCACATGTAAGGCCTTGGGTTTGATCCCCAGCAGCACATGAAAATAAATGAAATAAAGGTATTGTGTCCAACTACACCAAAAAATAAATATTAAAAATAAAACGTTTATATCCAGCAAAAAGAAAAGCATAGGGGAAAAACAGACATTTTTAACTAAAAAAGTTGGGAGAATAGATCATCAGCAGCCCTGGACTAATGGAAATTTTAAAGTAAGTTCTTCAGGCAGTAGGAAAATAGTACTGGAGAGAAATTTAGATCTACGTAAAGTAATGTAAACTTCCAGAAATTGTAAATATGGGTAAGTAAAAGTATCTTTCTGTTTTCTATATATGTATTTCTCTCAAGTATTTCTTTATACAGACAATTAACAATGGGAATTTAGAATATCATCAAAGAATGTGATATACTTGGTAAACCAAAATATGTATAAAACCTTTAAGATTACAAAGTGGGCTGGGGATGTTGCCTATTGGTAGAGTGCTTGCCTACCATGTGCCAGGGAGGCCCTGGGCTGGGCTGGTTCCTAAGGAGAGAGAGAGAGACTGTAAAATATTGCTGAAATTTTTTAAGGAGATGTAAATAAATGGTGGGATATACTACATTTTTTGAATCATTATTAAGAGAATCCATTATAAAGATGATACTCCCACCCACCAAGAGTTGAATTACGTTGAATGCAATCCAAAACTCCCAGGAACCTTTATTCTATAAAGTAGCAAACTGGTTAAAAACATCCATGAAAATGCAAAAACCCAGATGAATAACAGTGTTATTAAAAAAAAAATTGGAAGACAACTGCCTGAGTTCCTGACCTGCTGTAAAGCTGCAGTATTTAGACAGCGGTATTGGTCTAGGCTAAGTGTATAAATCAACAGACACATACAGATGTCATCCGTTGGTGTAGTGGAAAGGTGTCAAGAGAATAGGGAAAAGATTTCCTTTTCCACAGATATGTGTGGATAACGAGGGGGGACAAAATAAACCTCAACTCTTCACACCATATATAAAAATTAACTTAAAATGAATTATAGACCTAAATACAAACGCTAAAAATATATAAGACATATACTAGAGAATGGTATAATTCTGCTGGAAAATTCCTTTAGCATTTAATTAATTTAATGCAATTTGCCTCAAGGTTTTCTTAAGAAAATTCTGATGTAAAATGTGGAACTTATAAAATTGGAGTGAAAAGGGCAGAAAAAGATGTTCTGGCTCAGATATTCTCTAACCATAAACATCAGTCACTATCCTTGCCTGAGTTTAGAACATTTTTTGGTAAATTATGGCTTAATATAGAGTTGTTGCTGTTATTTTTTAAAATAATATTATTTATTATGGTCCTGCATCTTCAAAAGTCAGAAGTGTCTTTATGAGTCTTAATGGGGTTCGTTCAGTTATGTGTTTTCATTTTTATGAAAGTACCTACATGTCTAGAGTGATAATTACATATTTATGTAGAGAATGTCTTTATGTAGTCTACTTATATATATATATTTGGAGTCATTTTGAAAAGATCTCAAAAGTTTGTTTGTTCAACCCAAGGCCACATCCCCAAACCTTTTTTATTCAGAGGCAGGGTCACACTGAGCTGCTAGACCCATAAAACTTATTATGGATATATTGTATTGAAGTTCTATGTCCTTTTGTTTATATAAATGAATTAGAAATCTTGGGTTCCTTAAGTATTTCATTTTTATCTCCTCCATCCAATGGTTGTTCACTTAAAACATGTTATGAAATAATAACTTAAAGGAATTCTAACCACTAATTGCATGCTTAAGCCTGGTAATGCATGTTTAGTTTATTTTTAATTTCTTTATCATTTTAGTAACAATGATGATGTTATGTTGATTTCTGTGGAAAGTCCTAATTTGACAACTCCAGTTACATCAAATCCAACAGGTATCTTAACATGATTAGAATATGATCTATCAAATTAGAAAGCTTAAAATAGATATTTGTTAAAAATAAAGAACTGAATAGTACCTTTTTCTAAAATAAAAAATGTGCCTACTCTGGAAATGTTTTGATTTCTGTGATTAATAATACCTAAATAAATGCATGACTCTTTAATGTAATTGATGTTTCTTTTTAATCTTATATTTTATCAATTTCTATCCTTTTGTTTCTTTACTGTGTTTATCTAATGATTTTCAAGTTACAAAATTACATATAATTTTTTAAATCGTTTGCCTTGACCTTCTGTTGGTGCTGGTGGTGTTTTATTTCTTGCCTTTTTACCTATTAAGTTGTCTTACACTTTATTTTACTTTTAAAGTTTGTCAGGTTTGTTTTTTAACTTCTTTGTTTTTTAACACTTTTATTAGTTTAAATTTCTCTAAACATAGCCATATTTTTCAGCCCATAAGTTCTTATCCAAAATTCCTGTTTTTACTTTATTAGAGTAGTGAATCTTAATTTAAAAAGTTTGCCTCCATTTATGAAGCTACTTAATTGTGTCCACAGTTTGTAAATCAAAGAGCTACAAAAGATGCTAAGTGTTATAACTGAGTCTTCCAACTGGTTCCAGGAAGAATGCCTTTCAGCCATCTGGGCAGTCTATTTTAACAATATCATGAATTTAAAAACAGTTGCAGCTGAGTATGGTGGGACACACTTGTAATCCCAGCTCCTTGGGAGGCTGAGACAGGAAGATGGCAAGTTCCAGGCCAGACTAGACAAAATTAAAAATCTGTAAAGAGGGTCTGGGGTGTAGCTCTGGGGTAGAGCGCTCACATAACTTGTGTATAAGGCTCTGGGTTTGATCCCCAGTGTTAAAACAATAAATAGTTCCATAGTCAAGTGTAGGGTTTCAAATGCTGAAATAATTTTCAGAGCTACTATTATGTTGTAGAGTTACAGAAAGAAAAGATTCTTTTAACACCCAATTAACTTTTTTAACTAGATCATCAGATTTGGGAATAGGTAAAGTCAATAGTTAATTTTTATGATTACTTAATTAAAAGTTAATCAGTGTCCCCATTATTATTGTTTCATAATTCATATATTACAAAGATCTTAAATGTGTAATAGTTTAAAAATATAATTTTCTTTCAGATATTAGAAAAACAGCATCAAGAAATTTCAACAATTCACCAAATACTACACCAGAAGTCAGGGTAGGTAATAATCATTGTCTTAGATTGTTCACTTAAATTATAATTTGTTCTAGGATCTTTAGTGTTGCTCTGTGTGGGATACCTTGGTGTTTGTCGTTGATTCTTGTGCAAAGTTGATGGGAATGTGGTAGTATATCCCATGTACCCTCCCCCTACACCACCTCCACGTGTGTGTTTGTGTGTGTGTGTGTGTGTGTGTGTGTGTGAGAGAGAGAGAGAGAGAGAGAGAGAGAGAGAGAAAGAAAGAGACAGACACACAAATCAATATCCAGCTAGTTCATATAGTCAGGTTCCAACTAACTAGCCTAACCAGGTTCCAGTACAGCTCACACACTGAATAACAGACGGCTAGTGATGAACATATTTCCTGACCATACCCATTAACCAGTACATGTGGATTCTTAATCATTCTCAGAAACCATGCAGTATTTTATAAGGGCTTCTCTTTTATTGTATAATTAAGTTAAACCATAAGAAACTCAGAGAATGTTCAGTTTCTAGCTTCTAGATGATAATTTAGGTCTTTCGGTACACCTCATCGTAGGATACTTCCAACATGCACAGACCTTTCCATCTCCTGCACTGCCAAAAGGTGGGGAAACGTTAGTTTAAAATTGTGTTTCATCTTTTAAAAGTGATTCTCTGCTTTTAAAGCAAAACCTTACTTATTTCTTTTTTTAACAATGACTTTTCAGAGTGTAAAGAAGAAACTTGATTTTGTTATTGATTTGACCAAAGAAGCCCTGTCCAACTTCAACACAGGTAAAGGTTTTTTGCTTTTCTTAAGAAAGTAGGAAGCATAACTCAAAATGTCGTTTTGAAACTTATGAAGTGTGTTTTTTGTGTTAAAGTACATATATTTATAGTTTTATGCAGTTTATCACATGTGTAGATTTGTATAATTGTCACCATAAGACTTCCTCATGGTCCTTTTATAGTCACACCTGCCTCTTGCCCATAGTCCCTARCCCCTGGCAACTACTTCATGACTTTAATTGTCTTTTCACAAATGTTATGAAAATATGGTAGAGTCCATGTCCTTCTGAGACTGACTTCGACTTAGCACAGTTCTCTTGAGTGCTGCTCATGTTGTTGTATATAGTGTGTTCCTTCTATGGCCAAGTAGTAGCCCATGACATGGGTGTATCASAGCTTGTTCATCCATCCACCCTTTGAAAGACATCTGCGTTGTTTGGGGCCATTATGGATCTCTTCTCCTCATGGCACATACCTTTTCCCTAACCCTGATAGCAGGGGTTGAAAAGACATAACACAACAGGAAATGAAGGGAGAAACTTAGGGAGAGGGACAGCAGTGCCCTTTTTCTCCAGCTTAAGCAAAAAAAAAAGTGAATCTGGGGCTGGGAATTAGTGTTATTTTAGTAAGCATGAGTCATAAGCCCGGGAAGTTCCAAAGAAGATAAACATCAAGAAAAGCATACCACTGAGCGCAGTGACACAGGTCTGTGTTCCCAGCCGCTCRAGGCTGAGACAGGAGATTAAGCRTTCAAAGCCAGTCTCAGCAAAATGAGGTGCCAAGCAACACAGTAAGACCCTGTCTCTAAATAAAATCAAATGGCATCATTAAAAGACTGGGGAAAATCACTGTCCACTTGAAATTCTGTATCTAGCATATATCTTTCAAAAATTGAAGGAAAATAAAGTTTGTGTGTGGTGTGTGTGGTGTGTGTGTGTGTGTTCATTTATAGATGGACACAGTACATTATTTTATTTATTTATATGTGGTGCTGAGGATCGAACCTAGTGCCTCACACTTGCCAGGCGAGCCCTCTACCACTGAGGCCCAGCCCCAGCCCAAGTTGACTAAAATATGTGGCCAACAGATTTTCACTATGAGAAATAAAATTCTCCAAGTAAAAAGAAAATGATATGAGATGGAAAGTGGAGCTATGCTAAGAAATGGAACACCAGTTTGTGGAGTTCTGTCATATATGCCAAGGTTAATGTACGATAACCACAGCGCAAAAGACCGCTAGAGGCGTGCGGGGGTGCTGGGTGAAGGCCCAGCACTATGTGAGTGGAACCGTGTTACTCAAAGATGGATTATGATTTAACATATGGTAATGCCTAGAGTAGCAGAGCAAATAACCCAACAGTGGAGATCGAGTTCTAAAGTAAGAGAAGCTACAAAAAAAAGCGTACAAAGAATAAACAAGATTAAAAAAGAAGAGAAGGCAGAATGGTAGATTTAAAGCTCTGTTGATAATAAATGGTCTACACACTCTATGAGAAAGCAAATGCTGTCAGACTAAATAACAAAGGACTCATCTATSGGAGTCATGAGAGATGCAGTTTGTATATAAACACACCGATCGGTTAGAGGTGAGAGGGTGGAGGGTGAGCCGTGGGAGAGCATGGAAGGGCTAGTCCTAAGAAAGCTGGGGTGGTGCTGCTGTTACGGGCAAGTAGGTAAGGGCTGTTACCAGTGARTGAGGAAGAAGGCTGCTGATCACTGAGTACTGCACACCCCTTGCCAGAACTGCAGAGGAACAAAGCATAAATAGAAAATGAACAGTAATAATTAGAGATTTCAACAGTCCTCAGTAATCAATATGTAGAAAGAAAGTAAGGCTTTAGAGAAATCTGAACTGTCAACATTTCTAGAATATTTAACCCAAACCAGAAATACACATTCTCTGTGTGTGCAGGGGTACTGGTAGCCGGGACGCAGGGCCTCACACATGCCAGGTAAATAACTCCTCAATCACAGAGCTACTTTCCTGGCCTTTTACAGATYTGTKACTTTATTTTGAGACAGGATCTTGCTGTGTTTCCCAGGTTGGTCTAGAATATATGATCAAACCCTCATTCTTTTAAGTGTAGGTAACATGCAATAAGAGATCAGATTCTGGATCATAAAATAAATAAGACGTAAATGAGTAATCTATAATGGAAATGTAGCTGGAAAATCCCTGAATATTTGGAAACTAAACAGACTTCTCAAACCTATGAGTAAAAGAAGAAACCTTAAAGGAATATTATAAAATGTTCTGAACTGGATGAAAATTAAAAGATAGCATATTAGAATGTATGCAATACAGCTAAACAATGCTGACAGGGGAAATTATCAGGATTAAATGTGCATATTAGAAAACATAAAAGGTCTAAAATGATGAACGATTAAATACCTTTACCATAGATGCTGTGGGTAAGCAAGTATACTAAGAAGTAGTCAGGCAGTTTCTTGACCAACTATAGTATTATCATGACTCTGTTAATCCATTCTTTCACCTATTTGCCAAGAGAAACAAAAACCTACATCCACACAAGTTATCACAGGAGCTTTATTCATATTGCCCAGAGCTAGAATCAGCCCAAATCCATCGACAGGTGAATGCACAAATAAGAGTTCACATCCATACAACTGAACACTGAACCAAAAACAAACAAGATATTGACGTGTTACTAGTGCCTAAGTTTCAGGAAAACCAGGCTGGGTCAAAAGAATCCTATTTGCTATGGTAATTCAATTTATGTGTGTTAGAAAAGGCAACCTTAGTTTTTTTCTTGTTTAGTTGGTGGTGGAGATGGAACCCAGAGCCTCACAGATGCTAGGCAAGTGCTCTATCACTGTGCTTCATCCCTAGCCCCAGCCCTTTTTATTTTATTTAGAGACATGATCTCAATTAGTCTGGCTTTGAACTTGCTTGTGATCTTCCTGCCTCAGCCTCATGAATAGCTGGTGTTACAGCTGTACACCCCCACGACTGGCCCGAAACCTGGTGTTCAGTGACACCAACCAGTGGTTTCATGGGAACAGGTGTGGGTGGAGGTTTGAGAAGGGATGCCAGGGGCTGGGCTGTAGCTCAGTTGGTAGAGTGCTTGCCTAGCATGCACAAGGCCCTGGGTTCCATCCCTAAAACCACAGCAAGAAGGCGGGGGAAGGGTTACTGAGGGAACCTTTGGGTGTTTGAGTAATACAGTATTGTGTCTTGATTTTGGTGATGGTTTATTTGTTTATTGCTTAAAATGGATAGATTTTACTCTTTGTAAAACTATATTTCTCAATTGGTCATTTCAGTGTAAAGTAGAAGCTTTAAAAATAATTCTTTTGATTTTTTTTTTTTTTTTTTTTGTTTTTTTTGTTTTCGGTGGACACAACATCTTTGTTGGTATGTGGTGCTGAGGATCGAACCCGGGCTGCACGCATGCCAGGCGAGCGGGCTACCGCTTGAGCCACATCCCCAGCCCTAAAAATAATTCTTACAGTGTAAGTAATAATGTGGCTGGGGATGTGGCTCAAGGAGTAGCGCGCTCGCCTGGCATGCGTGCGGCCCGGGTTTGATCCTCAGCACCACATACAAACAAAGATGTTGTGTCCAGATACCATTATAGTTTTTCATGATAAGAATAAAAGCTGGAGAGTATAAGACATCAATACTGGTATCACTTGGGACATCAGCGGGATTGGGATAACAGTCCTTTTTGTTTTTTATCTACACAAAGTTGAGAGTCTGTTTTAATTTGCTAAGGATTTGTTGACTTATTTTCCTGAAGGAAGTGGTATTATGCATGGTAAGTTATGTTTCTTAGAATCTTGTCTTTTTGTTAAGTTGTTTCCTTGGAAATTTAAGGCGGTTGCTTCACCTCTGACCTGTTGACAATCTGCAGATCATGTTCTCACAAATCCAGTTCTGTTTAATTAAGTCAGTGTAAAGTCTGTACAGACTCACTTAGCATTCAGACCATAAAGCCATTACCTGTTCCTGAAAGGTTTTTAACACCAGTAAAAAGAAGGGACTGATAAATGAACTTTGAAATGTAGTGCAGAATTTTATTCTTTAAATTAAAAGAAAATACTGATTTCATTTGGAGGATTCATTAAGTATATTACACAATTATACCACTGGAAACAGCAGACCTAAGTGGTCAAAACTCTTGGAACTTTGCGTCACGCCGCCCTAGTGCTCCAGCATGGCTCCTTTTCTTCCACTCCCCCAGGTGTTCTCATCCACTCTCACACCCTTCCCTCCACCCCATCTCCTCAGTCCCCTCCCGCCCTCTTCTTCCTCTCCTCCCCCTTTCTCCCTTCCACAGTTTATATCTGATTTCTTTCAGTTCAACACAGACCTCATTGGTAGAGATTCTTCTCATCCCAGCCTCTGAGATCTTTTAATTTGGATCCTCAGGCCTGGTGGGCCTTACATACTCAGTGTTCACAAAGAGCTCTAGGTTTGCAGACATCTTTGTCCAACATCACGTAACGGCCATCCCTCTCCCCTGTGGAAATGTACCCGCCTCCAGGCACATAGCGGGCGTCCCAGGAGGGATGTTTTGAAGCTGGGTGTGATGGTGAGCTCCGTTTTGCGGAGGCGGTTGCTGATGGTGGGAAGAGCATTTGAGCCCCCAAGTCCAGATTCAGCCTGAGCTTCATACATAGCAAGACCTCGTGTCAAAAAAAAATATATTGAAAATATTTGTCAATGGAAAATTATATTGGTACTTTTGAATCCTGAACTTATATCAGAAGTCTCTTCATATTTCACAGTTTTATAATTGTAATTCATATTTACCACCTAAAATGTAAACTGCTTAAAAGCCATGGAATTGATTATTGAAGTTAAATTTTTTTTTCTTGTAATTCTGGGGATCAAACCCAGGTCCTACACATGTGAGGGAAGCTCTCTCCTTCTGATTTACTCACTCAGTTATAAACTTCACTTGGTGTAGGGGGGCAATATTGCTGGGGCTTGAACCCAGGGCCTCACGTATATCAAGCAGATTTTCTACCAACCAACCTAAATATTTCTTCTTTTAAACCTTGTGTTATTCACAGAAATTCCAGCACCTACCCGGGAGTCACCTTCGAAAGCTGCTTTAAATTCAAAAGAAATAATCCCAGTGGCAGAAAATACAGCTGAGGTACTAATATAAAATGCCCTGTCAGGGACTTTCCTTCCAAATTGAGTGGGAAGTATCTGTTTTACTCTTGAAGAAACATGTGGCTCACATTTCAACTTAGATTTGTGCTATCATGAGTCTACTTATTTACTTAGTTAAAATAATTTAGTTAAATTTTACAGAAACTATAGATATTAAAATCCTTTTTTCATCTAACAAATTAAGAAAGAATTGTTTTGTCATAGCCATTGTTGAAAAGGGTTGAGGCTAATTGGTTTTCTCATACTAATACTTTCATGTAAATCAGTTCAGTGTTTGGAAACAATTTGGAAATAAGATGTGATATTTATCCAGAATGTTTGAGACCTATCCCATTCTGGATCAGTGATATTCCAGAATGTAGACATCTTAGCTGCAAAAGAGCCTCATGCTTAAACAGCCTGGATTCAGCCTCACATATTCTTGAAATATCCTGTTTGTTATTTCGATAAAAGGAGTGAAGAATGGGAAATATATATTTGAACAGCTGCAGTAGACCACTTTAAAATAGTCAGTTCCCAGCCAACTGGCTTGCTAAACTTTTTTACAAATATGCTTTTAGGATTTTGATTCCTTTGAGCACCTGCCACCTCTCCCAGAACCACCACCACTGCTCCCTGAACTGGTGGACAAAATCCAGAACACACTCCCTCCCCAGAAGCCAGAGCTCAAAGTGAAGCGTGTGCGGAGACCCATGGGCATCGCCCTGACTTGGAACATCAGCGAAGTCGACCCTAGGTGTGCTCCTGTGGAGAGCTACCACCTCTTCCTGTGCCACGGGAACTCAGCTAACAAGTTGATTTGGAAGAAAATTGGAGGAATCAAAGCTTTTCCACTCCCAATGGCCTGTACTCTGTCTCAGTTATTGACTTCTGACAAGTATTATTTTACTATCCAGTCGAAAGACATTTTTGGGCGATATGGACCATTTTCTGACATAAAATCTGTCCCTAGGTTTTCTACAAATCTTACCTAAAAGAAAAATCTTCAAAAACTTTATGTTGTATAGTACATATTTTCCCCCATATTTGAGTTGGTTTACAATGTTACCCTTAACACTATTTGCCATTTTAAATGGCCATTTCAGATTGTGAACCCTTTTGTATGGGGACAGTTCTCATGTATTTGTAAGTGGCTTATAGCTTCACTAATTTTTTTATTTGCATTCAGTGTGTTCTTTGTATGTGTTCTCAAACATACACTATGGTGGACCCATTTTGCTAAGGTGTGTTAGGAACAAGTCCTTTGGAGAGTGGAGCTCTATAGCACAAGTGACCACCATTTCCACTGTTGACCACCAAGTCTGATGATTTGCTTGGGTCATTTTAGGTACAGAAAAAATTGGCCCTTTATTGAGGCCAGATCATCCTTGGGGCATATCCCCGCTAAAGTTTCATAAAAAATAAATGTCTTTCCATTCTGTTTAAATTCTAAGGGCTATAAATTTGCCCCTTCTATTTTATTTTATTTTATTGACTATGTTAGTCATTTGGAGAAATAGCCTGGAGGTTTTCCCTAAGTGTATTTGTATACTTATATACATAAAATGTGTTAAACATTGTGTGCTGTGTACACAAAATCTTACAACATCTCTTATAAAAAAAATATTGTCTACACTGGTTCAGTTGTGGAGTTGTCCACTGCAGACTAAGGCTTTAATTTGCTGATTCCCAAAATGCTGCCCTTACTACTCAGAGGACATAACACTAAAGCCCTAATGGCTAGGTCTCCTTGTGCTTGTCCCCAAGCACCCCTGAGATGGAGCGAGAGAACAGACTTGAGACGTGGAATTCAGGCTCAAGGGAGACCGACTTTGTGGACAGCTAATAACCGGGATGTTGGGAAAACAGGAAAATAAAAGATTGTCTGAAAGAGAGGCATTCTTTCCTGGCAAATAATCAAAAGTTCCAAAAGTATATAACTGAACAGGGCAGGAGGCTGAGGCAGGAGAATCACAGGTTTCAGGCCAGCCTGGGGAACTTAGCAAGGCCCCATCTCAAAAATGGAGGGCCTGTGGGTTCCATTGCTAGGACTTTGTATGGGAAACCTGAGCAGGTTATGGTTTCCTTGGCATTTTGTGGATGACTGCACATCTTCAGTGATATCTTGTTATTTTTTTCAGTTGCCTGTGTCTTAACAAAACATTACAGTAAAAAGAGCCATATTCTGAAGTGGATCTCCCTGGACGAGCTGCTCCCTGAGAGGTCCGTATAGAACTCGGCAGCAAAGGAGGTCCTGCAGCACAGAACGAGGAGCTCGCCCCAAGTGAATTTGTCACCCTCAGGTAGACTAGATGCTCGCTGGTAAGCGAAGCCCAAAGACTTGACGCCCTATCAAGCTTCTGGCGCCCTTCGCCAACGTGAAACTGCATGCCCCTGCAGCAGGCCATCTGGAAAGTGAGGTGTGCAGGCTCCAGCAGAGAGCGTCAGGCAGGCTTCAGGACCAGCAGGGAGGCTGATGTGGAAGCAGACATCTGAATGTGAGTGGCTCAGACAGCGTTGGTATTTCTTGCCTTTTGCAGAGGCAGGGACAAAACTCTCAGCTGTCAGTGGCACCAGAAGGTAGCCAGCCCCAGGGCAAGGAAGTCCTGCCAGCCAGCACAGTCACCCCACAAGGTGCCACCTGGGCTTGCAGATTAGTGGGAAGCTCTTTCCTCCATCAAGTTACAGGAGGAAACATAAGCCAGCATCAAACACGACTCACCTGGCTCGGGGAATGGCTCAGGGAATCCCCGGGAGTCCCAGAGATCTGGGCTTGGGAACCAGGCAGGCATAATTCACAAGGACCTTGGCATTCTGCCTCACAATGAAGCAATACTTTAATAATGCATTTTAGTACATTTAATAAAATAATGCTTTTAATAAAATACTTTTAATAGATTTTAAAGATGGGGAAGTAGGCCCAAGGAGCTTATAAGACTTTCCCAAGGTCACCAAGTTCCAAAGAGTAAGTGGGGCTGGAATTCAAATCTAGTTCTTGGTTCTGGGGTACATGTGCTTCCTGTGGGGACTAGGTGGACCCAGCAGAGCGCACACTGTCTCCGCTGCCTTGGGTCTGCGTGGAAAGCCCTGGTTCACAAGGTGAGCTAGGGAAGCAAACCTGTCRTTTGTCCTCAGTGAAAGGTGGGTGAGTGAAACATCTTTTGCTGCCTGCAGCTCCTAGAGCAGACTGTAGCCACTCGAGGAATAGGCACAGCGGGGGCAGCTCCGTGCTCGGCCATGTGTCTGATTGGAGTGGTGTCAGGCACAGACTGAGCCGCTCTCCAGGCGAGCTCTTTGCGGCTCCCTCAGGTGTACCTGGCAGGTGAGGCGCGGAGGAGGGAGCACAGCCATGGGAGAAATGAGAAGCATTTTATTACTCACAGGTCCACAAGAGAAGAGGGTGACCACAAGGGCCAGTGAGAGATCCAGACTGCCAGTGCTTGGGAGTCAGAGCAAAGGACCTTTGGGCCTCACGTATTTAACGGGGTCCAGTACATTTACCTAAGTAGGTCCCCTTGAGGGCCTCTGATGGGTGGCTCGTTTGCTTTCTTGCTCCCCGGTCACTGGTGGAGCACCCTATAGACTCTGCATTTCACACTAGCCCCACAGTCACCCCTCTTGTCTTGTGGACCTATAAGTAATAAAGTGCTTCTCATTTCTCCTGTGGCTGTGCTGCACCTGTGCCTCACCTGTGGGGACTAGATGGACACCACAGAGTGTCCCTCTGCCCAGTCAGGGCTCACCCAGAGACCAAGTCTCATGGTAAGAATCCAAGCAGGTCAGACAAGAGCCGTAGGATGCCTGGGAGAGGGACCCTTGGTCACGGTTTGGACACTGCCAGTCAGCTCTTGGTGGCTATGACAGAATGCCTTAAAACTTTGAGACACAGTCAGTCTTCCCTTTTTTATAGTTTTGAGGGTTTTTGTCCATGGTCCTTCTCCACTGTTTTGGGCCTATGACAAGACGTCATGATGGTGGAAGCACATGGCAGAGGACACTGCTCACCRCATGGGCCCGCTGTCCCCTTCCTGTCACTATCAGTGACCTCACTTCCTTCATTAGGGCACATCTCCTAAAGGTTCCACCACTTCCCAGTAGCGCATGGTTTGGGGACCAGGCCTTCAGGGACGGGACATTCCAGATCTAAACCAGTCCAGACATTTAGGCACCAGGCTGTCCCTAGGAGGAAGCCATTTCCTGTGAACGGCACAGCAAAAATCTACAGGTACCTCTGTGGGCCGCTGAGGCCAGGGCTGGGGTTTAGCCACTGTCCCTTGGGGGAGACCTCAAGACCGAATTAGAGGAAAATTGCAACAGTGAGATAATATGAAATACCACGGACAAGCAAGTCCTTATGGGTAAGTGATGAAAACCAGTCATGACAATGAAAGCAAGCATAGAAAACAGCGACTAAGGGTTAGAAGTACCTTGTTTCCTAACTGCTAATTCACTGTGACAAGGTGGTCACCAGATGTGTCACTCAGATATCCATGGAAATAAAAAATATCCTTCAAAACTATGTAAACAAATTCCCAGTAGAAAAGTATAAACAAGGCACTTACAAATCAAAAATTTCTTTTTACCACCAACTCTCTCTCCTTGCAGAGGAGGTAATCACTGTTAGCGGGTTAATGTATTTCCTTCAAGACTCTTACAATGCATGTGTCTATAGGGTCCTGACAAATGGCCCTCAGAGCTCCACCACCCCATTGCACTAACAGCATGGAGTACACCCTCCCCAACACTGGTCTTTAATTGTAAGGTGAGGTCTTTAATTGTAAGGTGATCCAGAAATTCTGGATCTTCTCAAGACTTGTGTTTGTTTTTTTTTTTTTAATTTTAATTGCATAATAATTGTACATATATGGGATTCAGCATAATTTGACGCATGCATATAATGTGCAATAATCAAATCAGGATAATTAACAATTTATACATTTCTTTGTGATGGGAACCTTGGCAATCCTCCCTTCTATTTCTTTATAAAAATGTATAGTAGGTTGTGAAGAATCGTCATCCTACTGGCTACAGAGTATTCTGGTATTCTGTCCAAGCCCTCTCCTCCCTGCTCCCTTCCTCAACTCTAGTAACTACTATTCTACTTTGCACTTCTGTGACGTCAACTTTTTTGGCTTGCACATAGGAGTGACCAAATGGGATATTAATCCCCTGAACTAATGTCCTGCTGTTGATAAATTGGGACTCACGGGTTCGGGGGGGCTGGGGTGTCAGTTTGGGTTGGGAGAGCTGCTTTCCAGTTTTCCTAGTATCATTTAATATGTATCCATAAGAAGGTGGCTTTACCTTTCTTTTTAGTACAGGGGATCTAAGCAGGGACAATTTACCACTGAGCCACATCCCCGGCCCTTTTTATATTTTAGTTTGAGACAAGGTCTTGCTGACTTACTGGTACTGGTGGCTTTACCTTTCTGAATGCGTCTCCTCAACTAAGATGAGAGAATTTATTTAGTCAGATCTCTAAAGTCAGTAAGCCATTTCTCAAGAAAAGGAGGACAGTAAAACACCATCCCCATCTCTGTTTTCAAGAACCGAGCCAACTTAAGGGGATGGGGAAAGCAAGCCTGGTGCAATTTTCCAGATAAATATTATCTTGAAAGACACTGGCTCGGGGCTGGGGATGTGGCTCRAGCGGTAGCGCGCTCGCCTGGCATGCGTGCGGCCCGGGTTCGATCCTCAGCACCACATACCAACAAAGATGTTGTGTCCGCCGAGAACTAAAAAATAAATATTAAAAATTAAAAAAAAAAAAGAAAAGAAAGACACTGGCTCGCTCACGTGTGCTGGGAATGAGGGCAAATTGGTGCTGTCTGCAGAAAGCTGCTGTCTTGCACGCATAGCAGGACTGCTGCTCACACAGGGAACAAAGCAAATTGATGCCATCACTGCTTCTGTGGCCTAGCTTATAAAGCCCTACCCTGTGGTCACTGTGTGGAGTTGAGGACACAGTGCACAGGATGAGTGACACTTGTCCAGC